TAAATGATCAGGTGACAGCAGCTCCATGTAAACGCCTGCACACCGCATGTAATGGAATGTGATATGATTACATGCGGTTAGAAAACACTCTCCCTGGATGTACAATCATTGCGTCCAGGGAGAGTGATTGATTCCTAACCCCCCCACACACACGTGTGTGTGTGTGTGTGTGTGTGTGTGTATGTGTATGTGTAACAGCGTGTGGTCGATGGCAGATCAGACGACACTTGTGTGAGAGGCTAAAGCGTAGTCAGGAACGAGCCAGATCGGTAACGTGCGGTCAGCGTGGTACATAAGCAGGAGACAGAAGCGGAGTCAGGAACAGGCCGGGTCATACACTAGCGAGCAGAATAGTACCAGATCAGGAGGCAGAAGAATTGTCAGGGATGAGCCGAGGTCACAAGGCAGGCAGTAAGCAGGCAGAGTAAGGAATGAAGCTGGGTCAAACAGGTATCAGGAGCAGAAACACAGATGCAGGTTACAGCTGCAGATCTCTCAGCAAGGTGCAGACGCAGGGGCAATCTTTAAATAGCCCGCCTGGCGCCAAGGACATGCGCATGCACGTTGTTGCGCGCGTACGTGTACGTTTTCGCGCATGCGCCTTACTAGCTGCATAGCGTCGAAGCCTCTAGATAGGCAGAGCCAGCTGTCACTCACGCAGCTGGGTGGATCTGGACAGTATTGTCGGGATCCGTCTCAGCTGCGGCGGTCTCAGTATACCGCGGATTTGCGGGCAATAGCCCGCTATATACTGAGCTTTGGGTTACGGGGGGAGGTTAGTATACATCCTCCCGTAACCCTAAAGAGAACTATGGGAAAAAACACTTACCCCATAGTTCTCTTTTAAGCCGCTGCTGTCTGTTACATACTGAATTTATTATGTGTCCAAGTGTAATTGCTCAAGAACACACAAGGGTAAGCACCGCTTCTCCACGGCTCAGGAATGGAATGAGCAGAGTGCTTGCTGTTGGGACCACATCCTCGCTCCAATATGAGCTTATATCAACAAAAGAAAAGATGGCCACACACCAGATTCCACTGGGATAATTTATTGAAAAGTACCACATCACTGCTGTCCTGCCCAAGGTCTGCCCAACAATCACAAGATTGTTCACTTCTCCTGCCTTCTCCAAACTCTTCACCCTTTTGTGAATAATCCTGTTAGACTCTCTAATTAGAATATGGTATTCTGTTGAGAATACTTTGTATCAATTTGTAAACACACAACCGACTCCAGCAGCACACAACACAGTGGGCTGCTGCCGCCCTGGCTGTGATCACAGAACTGTGACCACCTAAGCTGCTGTTGAAGGTCTGCCTCGGACCCTGTGGAACCCATCAACAGCAGTAACTCAATGAGATGCTGGTTCCTTCACGGACCAGCTCTCATTGTATCGCATGACAGGGTTATCCCGTCACTGGTAGTTAACGAACTGAACGAAGGTGACGAGATAATCCCGTCATCGGTCGGGAAGGGGTTAACCCACATATTCTTAGACTTTATTAGTACTCTGTAGTCATTTGGTTGTCATTTTCTGCAATATTTCCCGTTCCCGAACCATAATTTTATTGTGAGCTCAAAACTGAACTTGTGTGCAAATTGAGGTCTTACAAATGCGTTAAATAGGGGCAAGATTTTGTCTGTCTGGATTCGCTGCAGATTGGCTTTTAATTTTGTATTAAGTTTATAATTGGTGAAAGATTCTAAATAAAAATGGGATCAGTATTATTTTGTAGTATTCATAACAATCCTCTTTATTAAGGTTGGAGCGAGAACACAAGAGAATTCTAAAAATATGATTAAGACGTGCAACATTCCCTGGTGACACCCAACGCTCAGAAGGAAAGAAAGCCGTAGATTATATATAGAGAGCTGCCTTCTGTCTGACAGAACTCTATCTTCTATCAGGAGATGGTAAGTGAAATACAGAACCCAATATGAATCTAAAGACTGATGGGTGAATTCATTATTGAAGTCTAATAGAAGCCCCCAGAAGATGTATAATCATATTACAAGTTTTATAGAGACTCAGTGATGTTCTGCTGGATCTGTTGGTCAGAGCATCTAACAAACCTGGAAAAGGTTTACAACAAGGGCCTGCTATGTAAGAATACATTGTACAAGATGGAGCTTTATCACTCATTGGCCACTTTATTAGGTTCACCTTGCTAGTATCAGAACTACCTTAATTCTTCATGGCATTAATTTAACAAGGTTGTGGAAGCATTCCTTAGAGCAGGGGTGTCAAACTCAATTTAATCGTGGGCCGCATCAACATTATGGTTGCCCTCAAAGGGGCTGTAAGACTATATAAATGTATCTAATCTTTATCATAATTGCCTCTGCATTCGATTATCACTGGTTTTAGTAATAACTTAATACCTGGATCTGAAAGTAGAAGTCTAGGAAATGGCCTGGTAGGCCGGATTCGGCCCCTGGGCCTTGAGTTTGACACATGTGCCTTAGAGTGTTTGGTTAATATTGACATGAAAGCATCATGCATTTGCTGCAGATATGTCGGCTGCACATCCATGATGTGAATCTCCCGTCCCACCGCATCCCAAATGTCCTCTATTAGGTTGAGATCTGGTGACTGTGGAGGCCATTTGAGTCATGTTGAACTTATTATCATGTCCAAGAAACCAGTCTGAGGTCATTTTAGCGTTGTGACATGTTGTGTTATCCTGCTGGAAGTAGCCATCGGAACATCGGTACACTGTGGTCATAAAGGGATGTCCATGGTCAGTAAAAATCCTCGGGTAGGCTGTGCCATTTAAACAATGCTCAACTGGCACTAAGGGGCCCAAATTGGCCAAGAAAATATCCCCCACACCATTACACCACCACTAGCCTGAACCATTGATACAAGGCAGGATGGGTCCATGGTTTCATGTTGTTTACGCCAACTTCTGATTTGACCATCCGAATGTCACAGAAGAAATCAGACTCATCAGACCAGGCAACATTTTTACAATCTTCTGTTCTTCAATTTTGGTGAGTCCTTTTGAATTGTAGTCTCCGTTTCCCATGCTTAGCTGAGAGGTGTGACACACTGTGCGTTTTTATGCTGTTGTAGCCCATCTGCTTCAAGGTTCATTCAGAGGTGATCTTCTGCACACTTCAGTTGTATTGAGTGATTATTTGAGTTACTGTTGCCATTCTATCAGCTTGGACCAGTCTGGCCATTCTCTGACCTCTGACATCAACAAGGCTTTTTAACCCAAACAAACTGCTGCTCTCATGTCACCTTCAAAGTTACTTAAATCACCTTTCTTCACCATTCTGATGCTCGGTTTCAACTTCAGCAGATTGTCTTGACCATGTCTACATGCCTAAATGCATTGAGTTGCTGCCATGTGATTGGCAGATTAGATATTTGTGTTAACGAGCAGTTCAAAATGTGTACCTAATAAAGTGACCAGTGAGTGTACATGTCAGTCACCACAACATGAGAGCTGAGCCTGGGAGGAGAGAAGCCCAATTCAACTGACTAAATTTACCATTCAATATCCCTAACAGGACCCACCAAGTTGATTCTCAAGGCGCAGGAAAAAGGCAGCTTAAGTCAATGGGGTTGATTTGCTAAAGGCAATCAGGTTGATTCATTTTGCAAGACAATTTTCCCTAAGCTTATAGAATGAGGTGAAGCGCTTCTGACTTCCATTGTTCGCTCATGTACATGCTTGATATATTTTCCTTGCACGTGATGTAATATTCTTTGAAAAGTGAATTTGCACCTCATTCACTAAGCTAAGAAAAAAAATCCCTTGTGAAGTGAGAATTCCCTTAGAGAGTGAACGGTCTATTTGCCTATAGTAAATAAACCCCATAGTCTTTAGCTTTGTCCAACAGACCGGGACGGTTCTGGTGTACAAACAACAGACCGGGACGGTTCTGGTGTACAAAGTGATTGTAGTATTACTGCATCACAGTGTCCTAAAGCGAGCCTAAAATTGGATATATTTGCAACAAAATTAAAGAACAGAAAAGCTGTAAGCAGAAAATAGAATGGGGGAGGTTTGTATTAGATTTCAGTCCATGCACATCTAAGAAGACCTAGATGCACATAATGGTTGGTTAACTGCATGGTAAATGAGATTCAGTGAGTGTAGGAGAAAGAAAAACATTTGGAAACCAAATATATAAATGGGGAGGGGGGGGGGGGGGTTATAAAAATAAAATGCTCTTTTGGGCCAAGTAAAGACAGATCTGGTGGAAGATTTGGTGGAAAGTTGCACACTTTAAAGTTAAACCTGTGACCCTATAGAGTAAACTGCCACTGATCTCACACTACAGTCACCTCCAGGGTACCACCGAATCCTGTATACTGTATCTCTATAATGCACTCAGTGGCCAATAAGCGGATTCAGTAGCCAATATTAAGACAGGGCATGGGTGAGGGACAGTCCACAGTCAGTGACAACAGAACGCTGGTTGCATTACAGAGCATCCTGTGTTTTTGGAGCTCTGTTGGACATCAGAACCTGCAAATTTCTGTATTATCGGTTGAGTGGCAGTTTACTTTTTGGTTTTGGGGACATAAGTTCACCTCAAGATCACTTCAAAAGACACAATGCTCCCCCTTGTGCTGCCCAAAGGCTTTGTACTATAAGAGCAGTACAAATGTACGAACAGTCTTGTACATGATCTATTTCAGGCTGATTAGGTTTTAGGGGAAGGGCTTCATTCATTTCCAAAAGAGAGAAATATAATCTGTCATAGTAACTATTCAATGACCAATATCTGGAATAGTGTAACAGAGAAAGACCCATATACATGAAGAAATCAACCATTGACCTTGTTCTTTTCTAGACAATTTTTAAATCTAACCTTACATTTCTTCTTCTTGGTCTCTCAGACTTGCACTACACTAGATAATTTACGATGGAAAAAGTCAATCGAACCTCCGGCTTTATTCTTCTGGGCTTCTCAGACCTTCAATACAACTGTGCTGCTCTCTTCTCCACCATTCTGGTCATTTACATCCTCACATGGACAGCTAACGTAGTTCTAGTAAGTGCTATTAAACTTTCTCCACAGTTGCACACACCGATGTACTTTTACTTGGGGAACCTGTCAGTAGTGGACATCTCTTTCTCTACGGTAACAGTTCCCAAGCTTCTATCCTGCATTCTTCATGGAGCAACCTCAATCTCCTTCCTTGGCTGTTTCCTGCAGATGTTCTTCTTTCTGTTATTGGGGGTCACTGAGATTCTCCTTTTGACAGTCATGGCCTTTGACCGATATTTAGCTATTTGTAACCCCTTACGTTATACATCATTAATGAATGAGAAGGTTATGGTTATGCTTACTACCACGTGTTGGGTAGCAGGATCTCTACATTCATGTTTACATAGTTTGAGTCTCTCACAATTAACCTACTGTGAGGACAGACTGATCCACCACTTTCTCTGTGACGTGACACCCCTCATCAAACTGTCCTGCTCTAGTACCATACTAGCTGAGCTCTTAATATACACTGAAGGTTCTATAGCTGGTAACATTCCATTCCTTTTCATTTTCATTTCCTACATGCTAATTGGATGGGCTATAGTGAAAATGAAAAGCAGCAGCAGCCAAAGCAAAGCCTTCTCCTCCTGTTCTTCTCATCTCATGGTCATTTGCTTGTTCTATGGTACCATCATTTTTACTTACTTTCGACCACCATCAAACTACGCCTCCCAGTATGATCGCATTGCCAGCATGGCTTACACCATCATCACACCTATGCTGAATCCTTTCATTTACAGCCTAAGGAACCAAGATGTGAAATGGGTTCTGAAGAAACTTTTCATGAAATGGCTTTATTATGGCTAAATTAACAACTTTTCTGTCACACGTAATACTTTCTGGTCTATTCACAAAAGGGTGAAGAGTTTGGAGAAGGCAGGAGAAGTGAACAATCTAGGACAAAATAGAATGGAAAAATTCTCCAATTCAGCTCACTTTCCAATTCAGCTATGTTGTCCTAGATTGTTCCCTTCTCCTGCCTTCTCCAAACTCTTCACCCTTTTGTGAATAGACCCCTTTTTTTGTGATACAGAAAAGAAAATGCCGGACTTTGTTCTTTGTTTCTGAACAGGTTCTTTTTATTGAGTAGAACTTAGAATTAAGTATACCCATGTTGGTGACATGTTATGTGTAATCTCAGACAAAAACTCTTTTGCCCATTCAAACTTCTCCCATCATATTAAGATTTCCCAACTGGATTTCTGCCTCCAAACAAAGCACTCTCATTACTATGTTCTCTGAAATGAACATCTAGACCAGTGGTTCTCAACCTGTTTAACCTCAGGACCCACTTTTTTCCTTGGTCATTAAGTTGTGACCCAAGTCGCGCTGCATTGAAATGCACGGCATTGCTGTACCGGGCGTTGCGGGCCATTGAACTTTGGGTGGAAAGGGCGGTTGGGGTGCCTTTCAAATTTATTGTTATAAATTGTTTATTGACTGTTCAATTAACGCAGGGTACTAGTGTGAATGGGTCCTCAAAAACACTGACAGACACACACAAACACAATCTCACACACAACCACAGACATTTTCACACACACACATATACACTCCAAAACATTTTTTATTTATTTTTTTAGATCCCCCAGTCTCTCTATCTTAGGAGAACTGGAGTGGATCCTCAGCCTGGGGTCCAGTGCGGGCTGCTGTGCTGTGCTGGAGCTCCATCCATATGTGCATTGGCTTTTACAACCCCCTTTGCACGCCCTGGAGAGATGTTGGGAGCCAGAATGTGACATCATTCCGGTTCACCTCTACAGGACATGCGAGGAAGCTGTAAGCAATGCATGTATGGATGGAGCTCCCTCGCGGCCATAGCTCCAGCCCACCCCACACCCAGTATATGAATGGCTATTCAGCGCGAGAACTAATAGTGCTGCGCTAGGGGGAGGCTGAGAAGCCTCTAACCTAGAAAAGTGGAAGGCACACGGTGACCCACTGAACATGGAGTTGGGACCCACTGAACACGAGGCCGCGACCCACTTTTGGGTCACGATTCACCAGTTGAGAACCAAGGATCTAGACCAAATCCTAGCAACTGCTTTACATCATAAAATGCTACGCAGTATATATTTCAGATTTATCACTTGGGTTCATTTATTGTAATATACACTGAGTGGCCAGATTATTATGACCACCCCATCAGTACTTCGTTGGGCCGCCTCGTGACTCCACCAGATGATGAAAGGTGATGCGGGGAATCTGACACTGCACTGTTGCCCTTCTGTTGTCTTGTACCAGTCTTGCCACTCTCCGTTCTGCCCTAACATTGACAATGTATTACTCAATGGACAACCCAGATTAGAATGGGACATCCTTCCTAAATTGTGTTGTGTCACATTATCCTCCACAACTAGCAGCTAAGACAATCAAATGTATCCATGATATCTTCTTGCACAATTGACGCCTAAGGGTTGTCTGGTCTTTCCCAACCAGGGTTATGTGGAACCCTAGTGTTCCTTCACTGGTTGCAAGAGGTTGCTTGTGGAGTCAACCCTAAGTAACCACTGACATCAATATCTTTTCTGCTGCTTGTAAAGGGACCAGTCTTTCCACTAATCTACCATGTAAAGGGGTCCTTCTCTCACTAATATAAGGAGGTCCTTCTCCCACTTGCCACAATGTAAGGGGCCTTGCACTAACCACCAGTGAAATAAATAATTTTCCCACTGACCAATATAAGTGGCACATGCCCACTGAACACCAATGCATTTTTTCCCTTGTTTTTTGATAAATTCTTTTTATTAATTTTGCAATATAACATAACAAAAATGACATGATCCAAAACAACACCAACAATAAAAACACATACTACAAAACAATTACATTCTCATACAGTACAACATTAAACAAGACAATACAATACATAT